ACTCTTTCCACCTATTTTCCATTTCACTTACGTTCCATATGCAAGGTATACCATTTCGTTTCTTATTGCTGAATTGTTCCTTGGGAGGTATGCGTGTGCACATCTCCCACAAACAACAACATCATTTCAGTTCCTCTATACTCAGTTCCTAGAAAAAAAAATGGCTTACTAGCAACTTCCAATGAGGCAATGCTGAATATCATCTACTGTTGAGAAACAAAAAAAGTGCACATGGTGTTGGAGACAAATGAAGCATATCATATGAACCAAACAATCCACTCATTTTGGTGAGAGAAAGCCACACTATTCTTAACACAATGGATGTAACATAAGGCACTAAAAAAATATGAGAGAGTAGGAGAGGTAGATGTAAAGGTTCCCCTTTTTGGTTAATTAAGAACTTCAAGGATTGTGAGGTTTGCCACACTCCTTTGTTAATGCAATGGAAATGGAAGTCTTTACATGTCTTTAATGTGCACTAGCTTTTAAAGGTTCCTATGTAAGAAAGAGAACATAACCTGAATTCACAAAGCAAATGAAACTACAAAAAAGTGCCAGGGTTGATAAAAATGTTATAGGTTTTATTTCTGGGAATGTGCCCATTCTATAAATGCAAATTTACTAGAGATCTTCCCTGTCGATTGTATAATGCACAATAAGAATACAGATAATTTTAATGAACCCTCTCCCCCTTAGCAAATGCCAAGTTAGCTTAAAAAAGGTCACATTCTAAAAAGATTGCTTATCTGTCTGTGACATTCACCTCCAACAATGAGCAGAACACCAGCGGTAACATCGCTTCTAATGTCAGGATATGTGTCTCTGGACTCTGCAGCATCACTAAGAACTGTATGGGGGCATAGAGCCATATGTAATGCATACACAGAGCTGTAGCATGGGGGCAGTGGGGGCAGCAGGTAGATGGGGTGCTAATCACAAGGGATTAATACTATCTGATGGCCATGAAGCACTTTCATTCTTAGAGATGATGAGAATTGACCTATTCTTTCTCTAAATTAAGAAAACAATGGTGCTTTAATGCTACAACTGGTCTAAAAGCTTGTATTTAAAGTATAATATAACTGAACACAAAGCTATAGGTGCTAAATCTTTCACATTCAGAGTGTGTCACAGGACCTCTGTGGTTAAAATGGTTCCCGGCAATGAGTGGCTGTTTTCGTATAGGCTGGTGGTGTGTTAGAAAGAGGGTGAGTGAGAAGAGAGCCTTGCAGTTTTTTTCTCAGAGTGGCACCTCTTTTTCCATTGCTTCACCCCGGAGACCTGCCAGCAAATTGTTTGCTGCTAAGGCAGCCATGGCATTGCGTGTACTGACCGTGGCACTGGCAATATGGGGCAGAACAACTGAAACAGAAAAAAAACAAAACCCAGAGGTTACTTCTTTGGTGCTGAGTTATGCTGTAGGAATTTGAGGGCCTGAGCTGTCTGGACACCTCCAGATGTTACCCTGTCACCACTATTCATCACCCAGTCTTCATACAGCAGGGGTCCTCTGAAAGCCTTTGCACAATCCTGCAATCTGCTCCTGAGCCAGAGCCTCTTAGGAAAACAACAGATTCCCATGGATTCTGGATACTCTTGTTGTATAGCTCACCTATGGGTCTGCACCTTGCTTAGGACTCTGTGAGGAGGGGATGCTGCTTGGTTAGCATACTTAAGGGCAGGAGGCTTAGACTGTGTGATGGAGCTGTGGAAATGGGATCTTCATAGAGGCCTTTTGGACTCCCAGTTGCTTAACTGCTGGAGGCTGCAAACACTGAGGATGGCAAGGGTACCGTTAAGCCACAGTGGGGCTAAGAAGAGACCTACCAGCTGCCTTTTGACTTGGGGATGTCTGCATGCAAGTCACACCTGTCTCCGATCTGCCTGCCTGCTCTGTTCCTGTGAGCTGGCAGGGGATTGAAATTTACAAGAATCCTGCAGGGTTTTAAAAGGATTTCCAAAGTTAAGATGATGTTTTAGTCAAATCCTGCTGGATTCTTAAAAATGTCAATCCCCTGCTGGCTTGCAAGAGCAGAACACGCAAACAGCAGGGGCAGATGGCACTACACACACACAAAACATCCCTCTGCTGAGTGTTGCACACACATGTGGCCCCAGATCAGCCTTGCTCTGGGGCTTAGAAGGAGAGGAAGAGGGAGGAGGTGTGTGTGCACGCTTATTATTAGTGCTAGTGTCAGATGACACCCCGGGGAAATTAATTCCCCCACCTGTTTACTGAAATGCCCTTCCACTTGATGTTCTCTCCTCAGATGAGGAGAGAGCAAGGTGCCTTCCATGGTCCAGCTAGAATGTGATGTTGCTTCTGGAACTGCCAGGGAGGCTGCCACCATTTAGAGCTAACCAGATGCAGACATCTGGCTGCTGGCCACTGTGCTCATTCCATATTGGCCACCAATCTGCCAGCCTGTGGTAATAACTGCCCATCTGGGCTGATTTGTAGCAAGCAGCTACAAACACGGTTCTGGTTGAAACAACACCTGTCAACACATTTTAGACATAACCTCCTGTTTAGTGTAAATACAGTTCATCCCCCCTTTAAAGACAGGTCAGTGATGATCTGTTTATGCTAACTGTCAAACATGCCCTCTTTTCCTTGCCTATACAGGTTCTGGGCTCTGGGCTGCATAGCTGTCCAGATGCCAAACCCCTAAATTCTATACGCAGACCACCAAATTTTGCAGTTGAATTAGTAGTTAAATGTTTCATGCTCTGGTTTACCCCTAAAGGTCTCTCAGTTCTGTTGGCTGAAGAGAAAAAATGCAGAATATAGTGCCCTAACACTGACCAGATAACTAATACATACTTTACCATAGACTATCTATGGGCCAGAGGCTAGTTCATGTATTTCAGCTCAGATAAGGTTCAGACCCTACAGCAATACAGATGCCCTCACCCTGTATAACAACAAACTTAACATACATAGAAAAAGAATGGAGAAAATGCTGAGATACTTCATACATACACGAGGCAGTAGAAGTCATTTGTATGACATTGGGCATTTCAGAATTAATATGCAATCAGGTTGTTTGAGCCTGTTTTAATGCCTGCACACCAAAGGGCAGAGTTAAAGGGGTGCATTTAACCTTACAACCTTAACATTTTATGAACTGAATTGATTATAGATTTTTAGGCAAGCACAGCCCTGCTGGGCACTGAAATTTATTGCCAAGATTGCTCCTATTCCCTGGCTTAGAAAAGCTGCTAGTTATTCAGGACACATTAAATGGTTCATGGCTTCAGGTGATATATATTGGTATAGCTCTACTGACTCCAGGGGTGGCATACAGATTGATACCTGCTGAGGGTCTGATCTACTGTTTTTTTAGTCTAGTTTGCACTGGGGCAAATCTCAACAGTATTTGTTCACTGGAGACAGGGACACCTGCCAAAAGAAGATTTTTAAGACTACAAATATGACTGGAGAAGCAAATGCACTGAGACAAACCCATGCCTGGTGGTGACTAGTGCTGGAGGAAAACTTCCTCTATAGGAAATTGCAGTATTTTGGAGTTCTTTTAATTTTGAATTGAAATGAAAATTCAAAAGTTCAAAATTTACCACAGAACAAAAAGTCCAGAAAAAATACTGACTTGGAAACAGTGAAATGTCCCCATCCAAAAACATCAAACTGTTTTGATAATGCCAAAGCATTACAAATAGAGCACATAATACTGAATATTAAATGAATAGAAATGTAAGATAAATTATATTTGAATATAAATGTAAAAATGAACCGTTTCAGCATTACCAAAATGAAATGAGAAAGGCAAAATGATTCACTTGGCTTTTCTCCCATCAGAAATTCTCTCAAAATACACACATTCCCTGAAAGTGTTTCATTTCAACAGAAAGGCTTTTTCCAGTGGATATTATTTCACTGCACATTCTCCAAGCAGCTTTAGTAAAAACTGTGTGTTGTAGAAACAAGGCCAAAGCTTGTAATTCCCAAACCACCCTTTTCAGCCGCTGCTCTTCAGAAGACAGGAGCTGCTTTCAACACACACTCACCGCAGTTTTTAAGTTTAAAAAGAGGATGATCTGTAGGCAGAGGCTCAGGCTCTGTGACATCCAGACCAGCAGCTGCAATCTGACCATTGACCAATGCCTGGTACAGGTCATCCTGGTTCACTACACCACCCCTGTTGGGAAAAGAAGAACAAAGTATCTATCAGTTCCTGGGCATCTTCTGTGTGTTGCTGCTCTAGCAGCTAAGAGCCTTAGTTATCTGGTGAAGGTTTTAACAACAGGATTGGATAGACTTGAAGGCAGCCTTATAATAAACTCTGAGGCCAAGGGCTTACAGTACTGTTCTCTGGCATGAATCATACTGTATTATGTGTGGGATCAGCTTATCTAATGAGACTGAATCCTATTGATGGGATTTTCCTTTATCATGATGCATCTCTTCCCTTGCCATCAGCATGTTGTCAGATTACACGAGCGTAAGCCTTTTATTTTTAATAATTGCGTTAAAGTTGATTTGATATTATGGAGCTGGGATGTCATTAGAGCCAGGAGTATAAATCTTATCTCCCTCTCTGATCATGTAAGGATTTGTGTCAGGAGTGTATGTTCTCCATTGTGACATCTCTATGTTTATCTTGCTGAGTACTGGCTGGAAAACATTATTTTCTCCCCCAGCCTCTCTCACCTGCTGGTGTTGACAAATATGGCGGTATCTTTCATTTGGGAGAAAAGACTTTTGTTGCAGATACCCTGGGTTTCAGGAGTTAAAGCACAACACACAACAATGAAGTCCGAAAGCCTTGCCAGCTCATCCACGGTCACTGTGAAGAACAAAACAGAGAACCTCCAGAGATTTCAAACAAAACCACATATAACATTGGACAAAGCCTCAGATTTTTCTTGGCACTGAGCTGACCCAAATCCACAAATATTAGACAATTTGTTCCCTAATGCTGGCTTATTTAAGCTTCCTGTATGTGCGTGTAAACAGTTTCCCCAAATGAAGCTATCTAGTTTGGCATAATGCAGCTTTCTCAGCTCTTTCATTCCCCAGGCTGTTCTACAGGAAGCATGTGCTGCTTGCAATAAGCATATGCACCTTTTGATTATAATTTCATATGCAGTCACTGCCTGGGGGTGGGAGCTCAAAATAAAAAAAAGAAATCTGCAGCTCTGACTCCAACCCCAAGCCTGGGACAGAGCTAGAGCTGGAGTCAGAGCCAGAGCCAGAGCCGGAGCTGCAGCAGTTGCCTGCCCCCTGCCTGGTACTCAAATCCAAGATGAGGTTCTTTTTGCCCCCATGTTGAATGGGAGAAAACCCTCATCTCAGAAGCTGTGGATGCAGGTGGACAGCCCCAGGTGCCTGGGTTTAGCAGGGCTGCTGGGAAATGGAGTCAGGGTGCTGCACTGCCTCAGCCCCGCTGTGCGGGTGGCAGGATCCGCCGCATGCAGCATTGCCCATGCTGCTCCCAGCACCTAGGCTGGGTGGGACTGAGGGACCTGCTGCGTGATGGACAAAATCCCTTGGTGGGCTGGATCTGGCCTGTGGGCTCTATTTTGCTCATCCCTGGCTTAGAGCTTTCATTGGGACGGGCTGCTCTAGCCTGTACTTTCCACTGCCTGAGAGTGTTCTGGGCCACAGCACCTTTCCACCTTACCAGAGTCTGCTGGGATGCTGGTTGCCACTTCAGGCCTGGCACTCATGTCAGTGTAGAGGAACCTCTTGACTCCAAATGGCTTTAAACGTGTTGCAACAGCAACCCCTGTAAAGCAGAATTTATAACCCTGAGTTCCTTCTCTTCTGTGCTCATCTGCATTTGTGATCCCCTCTTCTGCAGATGGACAGGTCTATTGGGAATGGGAAGCTCAGATTTCACTGGACGAGTTTTCTTTCAAATGATCAGTCAGTAAAAGAGGGGCTGTTGTGCCTGATGGGAGAAATAGGTATCCAGCCTCCTGAGCCTATTGGCATCCCCCAGGCCACATGGATCTCAGGACAGCCCCTATGGCCCAGTATTCAGGGCAAGTTGCCACACACCTATCCCTCAGCCTATTCTCTGAGCAGGTTTGCTAGTTGGGAGGGAGAGGGGCATGGGGGGAGTCATTATCCATCACAGTGATAGAGCCAGATTCATTGAACCAGTTTTGACCAGCTCTAATTCATGTTGCTATGTTTTGTCTTTTTTTGTCAATTTGGTTTTTCACCAAAGAATCAAAATGCAGAAATTTTTGGCTGGTTTTATATGAAAGCTGTACAAAAATGTCTCTGGGGATATTGCAACTCACCTATTCTTCCCAGTCCGAGAATCCCCACGGTGCTGTCTGTCAGGCCATGTCCACACATCCAGAGCGGTTTCCAGGTCCCCCAGCCACCGCTTAAAAATGATATGTGAAGCTACTTCAGGAACATGCTGTACAACACTAGCACTTTGGAAAGTGGAGACTGTTCCTGTTTAGCTCAGGTTAATCATTTAATAGCAGAGGTTCCCAACCACAGGGCCACAAAGGGTTGGCTGCCAGGTCATAGCGTGAACCCCCCACTTGGGCCCCTGTCTGTCCGCCCGGGCAAGCAGCTTGCACCGCTGGCAGTCACATGCAGGATTAAAGCTGTGCATTCCCACTTGCTCCAGCCCAGGCCCCGGGCCTGGACTCAGGCACTGTGCACTGCCCTGGCTGGGCAGTGCCTCTGGCCCCAGCCGCCAACCGTGCCCCACTCCCTCCCTCACTAAACAGGTTTGGCGCAAGCAGCTGCCGCCACTGCCTCAATCACCCCAAAAGTGGTGCTTCCCACTGTGCCCCTCTACATGTTGCCTATGCCCTCTCTGCTCCCAGTTGCATTACTTATACCCCTCCCCCCAAATAGACTTACCTGCAGGAAGCTGTGTCTTCACCATGCTGCCTGGCTGTATTGCCAGTTTTTCCACAGGAAATGGAAAACCCAGATCCCTGATTATATGTCATTGTTGATATCTCCTTTTATTTGTCTCCCCTTGGAGGAAAGCTGATAGCCTTTCCTCAGTCTTCACAACTCACTGTCCTAATTGTTGTTGTTGTCCAATCTACACAACCCCCTGAATTCTGGTATAGGCTTCCTGACATGAACTGAGTGCACAATTCAGGTAAGGGCTTAGCCAGGACTAGTTTTGGTACTATGGTATTTTATATTCTGTAATAGGTTTTCCTTCTCCATCTCTTGGGTGCTGTAGTAACACCAGGTGGGTGGCCCCTTCAGGCAACAGCACATCCACTTTCAGCTACATCCATCCTAGGGACTATGGGAGTTTATACATGTGCTCCGGGAGTGTGTGTGTGTGGGGGGGGGAGTGTTAACTAAAGGGGCTCCGAGAGCCACTTTAATTAAAGCGCCTGGAGTGTCCCCATGCTTAAAAATGGCGGTGGGGGTGCTTTAACTAAAGTTCATCAAATGAGCTTTAGTTAAAATGCCCCTGCCATCATTTTTAAGCATGGGCATGCTGATACGTGAGATGCTGGAGTCTGCTGCAGCGCAGTAATTAACACACTCCAGCAGACTCGATTAATCAAGCTTGCTCCAATGTGCTGTAATTATAGTGCATTGGAGCAGATTTGATGCTCATGTATAGGTGCCTTATAATAGCAGGGGAGTGGGAAGTAAAAGTCAGTGCAGTCTGACCAAGAAAGGGGTCAAGTTTCCAGCTGGAGAGCCCAGTGGTGAACAACTCTCAGCAGGGTGCCAGGCAGTCTGCCTTAGTACTGGGACAGGGATTTTGATGGAGCAGAGCCCTGGAGGTCTGCAAAGCATGGCAGAGGGACCAAGAGGAGGCGGGACTGAGACAGTAGACTGACACAGTACAAGCTGGAGAACCAGCCATCGGCCCTCACATCCTGTTTGCAAGCATGTCAAGGTAAATAGCCTGAGTGGCTATAGCTAATGAAACCTGGTTAGATGTGCAAGAAGTCCAAACTATTCCTCCCTTGATGTATTAATTTGAATTTAATCTGTGGCCTATTTGCCTGCCTTGGTTAGGTCCTTTTGAAGTTTACTCACTGTTCTCCAGACTGTCATAAGCAGGGATCTGAGTTTTCCATTCACCACGGCAAAACCTGGATTTTCTTTTTTTAAAGGGTTGGGGAGTGAGGGGCACCTGAGTGGATGGGGGCGCTGCAGTAGGGCTGGAGGAAGGAGGGGCTGTGGGTAGGGAGTGAGGGGTACCGGCAGGCCCAAGGGACTGTGGGTTGGAAGTGAGGGGCATCTGCAGGACTGGGGGAGCTGTGACTTGGGAGTGAGGGGCAATGGCATGGGCAGGTGCAGGGCACCGGCATATCCAGGCTGCTCAGCACCAAATATTGGGGGGTGGGGGGATGGGAAGGCAGCCTCAGCTGGACCCACGTCCTGGTGAGTGAAGGGGGTAGGGGGAGCTCTGATTTTCTATGATAGAAAAACCAAAATCAAACACCAAAATATATAGGTATTTAGCATTTATTTTATTATAATGATTGAGGCACTGGTAGGCTTTCAAATTGCTTTAAAATTCTCTATATATGAAAAACACATTGTGTTCAACTGATACCTATATATATTGTGGCATTTCATTTTAATTGTGGAATATTGTGGAGTCTGGGTTTTTAAATCAGAGAATTTGGGGTTTTTCCTTAAATCAGAGAATGTATGATTTTTAAACAGAGAAAACCAGGTTCCCTGCTCATAAGTCATTTTATATCATTTCCAGCAGTTGCCACTTTGCTGCCTGTAGTCACCCTCCAGATCAAATAAATAAATCAAATTGATAAATAAATCAAATATTTGTTCTCAATGAAATCTGTTGTTATTGTTACAGCACAATGAAAAGTAACCTTTTATTTTTGTTTTTCTGTCTCCTTGCCAGTTACTAATCCCAAGCAGTGGTTTCCCTTTTAACCCAAGACTACTTCGTTTTCTTAGGCCCCCTGTACACATCACAGGCATTGCACAATTATCTGGTTGATTACCTGGAGAAGAGCTATATATGCAAAGTAGGTATGACACAACAAAAAGCTCCAACCAGCTATAAAGTTAGACCTCGAAAATGTATACTAACTTTACAGCTGCTTGCTATCGAGCTTTAGTTTAAGTGTGTAACAGGCTCTCCCCTGCTGCTGGAAGCTATGTCGACTGATGGGGCTCCCAGGCACAGGGGTGTACGATGCCCAGTGAAAAACCCCCAAGCCCTAGGAATCATGACAGCTGTGATTCCCAAGGTCTGGGGACTTCACGCACCCCCAGGTGGGGAGATCACCGCAGCAGGGATCCTCCAGCCCGGGAGGTGCATGGGGCGTCCCCGTGGCTGGGAGCCCTTCAACTGGGGTGTGTGGGACTCCCAGCTGTGGGGGCTTGCGTCTTGCCACTGCAGGGGGAGCCTGGGATACAAAGGCTGCTTCTGCACCAGCAATAAGGCGTGATGGGATCTAATGCACAACTCCACAATCACATTGTAGCAGGCTGCCCACAGGCCACACGCTTCTGGGGCTGTTGCGCAGCCACAGGCAGTAAGCAAGTGATTGCAAGCTTGTCCTGCAGGACTGAACCAGTTGATGACAATAACTGGCTGGCTCCACAGGAATTAAACGGATCCTGGAGAGGTAAGCAGAGGAGACAAGAGCTTGTGGGCCTGAAGGTGGAGGCCTGGGCCTGGCATTCTCCCTGCATCCAAGAGAGCATGTGCAGAGGAACTAAGCAGAGAGACTGTTTTGACAAGAGGCTGTAAGTGCTGGAGTGACAATGACTGAGAGGGAGAGAGCAGGCAAGCGGTGGCATAACCCCACCTGAAAACTCTCTTGGCATCTGGCAAAAGACCCCCTGGGTATGTGTGTTTGTTTCACCAATGATCCGTTT